CCACGCACGCCGTGCGTGGCTGGCAGTAGCTATTCCGCTTGATTTTCTTGTCATGCACGCCGTACGTGACCCCCAGGCACCCCAACCCTTAGTTTTTCCCCGTTTCTTCCCCGTTTGAACCTCCCCTTGGTCCCGAACAATAAACCAACCACAACAAACACCTAAAGACCGTCTAAACGATATGAAACACAATTTTAATTATTTCCCAAATTCTCTCAAATTTTCGGGGTATTACACCCCCCCCCCCCTAAAGGACGCTTCGTCTGATGAAACGCTGAAGGAAATACCTTATCAAAAGGGCTCTAGATATAGAATACTAAGAGTTTACGTACCTCAACCAATCACGTTCCTATGGGTTGCCATAGTTCTTACAAAAGAGAGACGCAAAGTTCAGAATACTAGGAACTCTTAGAGATGCCCACCAAGTTCTACCTAAGATCACAAGATATAGGATACTAGGAATATACTCATAACTATTCTCAAGTTCACTAACTCACAAGATACTCTAGGATAAGGAACACCTACGAGCAACCATTCGAAAAATTCCATTCAATTCATAAATCTCAAATCAATCCAAAACATCACAAAATACAACAAAAAAAATCATCCCACAATCTCACACGCGCCTAAGCCTTAAAATTCCTTCCTAATAAGATTCTTTAATCCTAATTAATGAAAATAGTATTTCATATCAAAAAGTTTTTGAAAATCTTTTAAAGATTTTGAAAAACAAAGGCTCTGATACCAATTTGTAACACTCCGGCCCCACAGATTCCGAGGTAGTTATTTCTGACCTACCCTCCGGACCTCTAGTACTGTCCTCACAAACCGCCACTAGCCTTTTCCGCACATTTTGTCCTCACTCTTGGGATGGGTGACCCCCTGGGAAGTTTCTCAGGGCGCGCACGAGTGAGGATAAAGTGCGCGGAAAAGGCTAGTGGCGGTTTGTGAGGACAGTACTAGAGGTCCCGAGGGTAGGTCAGAAATAACTACCTCGGGCCCTGCGGGGCCGGGGTGTTACAGGAGTGATTAACTTGTGTCATATGATTTGCATGGTGATGTACTTGAGTTGGACTCTAGAAATGCAAACATACGTGTTAGGGTTGGACCCTATGAATTGTCGTGACTGGTAGTCACGGGGTATTGGGTTGATGTTTTGTAAACAAATCTTGTGCCTACGGTTCGACTAATTGACTTTATATATAAAGTAAGTATATTTTGAAAAGGGGTAACTTGGGGTTACGGCCTAGATTATATTATCACCCTATTTGAGGGTCTTGTGTTTGAAATACTTGTTGTATATCTATTAGATGCCATCCACACTAGTACTTTATAGTCGTATAAATTACTGACCCCCTTTCGGGGGGTATCCCACCATCATTTCAGGTTGAGGCTAGAGCTTGCTACATGTGCTTGTTGTTCGGGCGATCATCTTGGAGAGAAGACTTGGTTCGTGCTTCCTCCATTTTGTTTTTGAACATTTATAAACATGCTCATGGATATTTTTCACTATAGAGCCTGCGTGCTCATGTTTGCCACGTGTGGCATTTGTTTTTAAACTATGTTTTCCGCTGTGTATTGAATTGCTTATTATGCATGTTTATGGATGACTTCCGTGTGAATGATATTCGAGACACATTGTATAATATGGATGTGTTAGACTGCGGTTGACTATTCGTATTGTACGGCGGGGTGTTGACGTGTCCGGATAGGTCTGGGGCGTGACAGACCAACTAAGCGCCTGGCTTCATTCCAGTCATCATCAGAGAGCGCACAGTGGGTCTCCAGTGGCCCGTTGTCAGCAAGAACCCCCACATCATCTCTGTTACTCCTCCTCTTTCCACCCTTTCGCCTTCTGACGGCGTGAAGGGGAGTAACATCAAGCATAGAAATGGCATCCTGAACCTCGTGTTGTGGGTTACGAGCAACCTTGTCACCAGTGCTGGTAGAATCACTTTGAGAATCCATTTTCTCGGAAATCTGCAAAACACACACGCAGGCATGCAAAAATCAAAACCGGGTTAAGGAAAAAAAATCCGACCCCCAAATAAAAATTAAAGACTAGAATCGACATTCACATGTGATTCCTAGTCGAGGGATACTGACATATTGGGGCACTGTACATTCCCCAATGCCTAAAAAACCAGTTCGACGTAAAAACCCTTGCTCTGGGTTTTCCGACGAACAAATAACGGTTAAAAACCAAAATCAAAGAAGTCGACGGTTAACCTGTTGAAGAGGTGAAGCGACGGCGAAATGGCAAAAGAAATTCTGACCAGAACGAACATGAAAGCTTTGAACTTCTTGAAGACTCTGAAAATTCGAAAACAAAGGAAGCGCAAAGAAGAAAGAGAAAGCTTTCGCCTTTTATACTCTTCTAAAAAATTAACGAGAAGCTGACACGTGGATGACTGAGAATCAACCGCATGAAAAACTGAAAGGTTTCCCCGAAAAAAGGCACGCAAAAGGAGTAATGATGGCGCCACATAGTCCTTTCAAAGCCTTGTCTCGCATTAAAGGCAAAAAAACGGCTAATAAATATTATGTTGGAGAAGGAATATTTATAAATTCCTATTTGTACACATCAGCGTTACTACACGCCACAAGCATTTTCAAATGCAAAAATCTCCCAAGTCCACCAGATATCAAAGACAACCACCTTGTCCCCCTCAAGCTCATACTCATTTACACTTAGATTTTTTTCTATGTCCACAAGAGTGGGGGACTGATAAGCGGGGGACTCGGGCGAAAGCAAAAACAGAGGTCACCAATACAACAAACTCAGAGCAACGTAACGACCTCAGAGGTAACACCAAACATGTATAACTAAAAACCGAGCTCCCTATATATACATATCCCTATTACGAACTTTAAAAATTTTACCATTAAAATTTTCTCTTATGTTAAAACCTCTATCAAGCCATGGTCGAGGCCGTGGATGTAGCAACTAACTCATGAAATAGGTAATAAAAGCAAGGACCACGAATGCTCAAAGCTCGAGCTCGGATTCACCTACAACTGGGCGTCGACTTCTTCTCCGGAAATCATGGCAAAACAGATTGTACTCTTTTTCATCCGTTAGGATTTTTTCCCACTCGTTTTTTTCTCATCGGAGTTTTTGATGAGGCACCCCGTTGTTATGATCATGGAGAGAAGTGCCCCCGCCGGGCGCGCTAACCCAGAAGATTGAAGATTTACTCTCTCTCACCTCAAATGTTACTTTCGCTTCGAGAGTGGGGGGCTCGTGATGGAGTATATTCCCATATACCCTAGGAGTATCATAATTGCTGGTCAAAGACCACAAATGCATCTCAAAATACTTAAAGTACCAAGCTTCTATCAAAGGCCGACCCCGACCTTGACCCACTGAGGTCAGGACCAAGCACGAGACAACAAATCGACTAAGGATAGAACACCCAGCCGAGGCCGACCTCGACCCTCTGAGGTCGGCGAAAACACCGAGCTTGGGAATCACCCGAACGGGGCAAAATATGAGTTCGACCTCGAGCATGCTGAGCTTGGTACCAACTCTGACCTCTGACAGTGACGCAAGGTCAACCAAACCAAACGAAGCCAATAAGAGAGTCAACGCTACAAGACAAGACTGAAGACCAGGGACAACTCCTCTAGTGACGAGCACACGCATCCGAGCTCTGACCTTAGGGAGCTCGGGGTCTCACCAAACCCTTTATGGACTTAAGCATTTCACAGAACCAAGTGTCGCATAAGCCACCGCCACGTCACCCGCACTCTGAGAGGTGCCACGTCACCCCATCGAATAAAGTGAAGAATATTCCGGATGATACACGTGTAACCCGCACATGCATTCCAGTACTAGTTTGTTACATGCAGTTCCAATCAGCCAGCTGTCACATTTATCTCTCTAATCACCTTTACACGTGACAATACTCCATTAGATCAGTTTGTTTAGTTTGTTAGGCTATCAGGACACGTGTCCTCTCCACCATAGAATAACATCTTTTTACTAGGCAACAACTATTACTTTTTTAGTATAAATATCACCTTCCAACATGTAGAAGGGGTCTGATATTGAGTTCTCTTGTTGTTACTCTGCTGAAATATTACTTGATCTCATTTAAGCTTTTCCGATCTTCTCCCTTACTTTTCCGGATTCCAGCTACCCCCAGGGTCGTCGACCCATCAGAAACAAATTTGCAGAACAAGATCAAATTCTACACGAGTTCGGAATGAAATTAGAAATATTTGTGAATTTATGGTTAATCTGTACCTTTTACTTAATGCATTGTAAATGAAGTTGGAACAATAGCTTTAGAACTCAAAATTATCTTTCCAACGAGTTATAATACGCTCTAAACGGAAGAACACACAACAAGATATGAGTGTCACAAATACTTAGCCTTATCTATGTGATTTAACGTTTCAGCGTAAATAGAGCACTTTTAGTATAAATACAGTCTACCCGCACGGGTAGCTCAGTTGGTCGAGCGGTGGAAAAAATTGGACGTAGACCAAGGTTCGAATCCCGCAGCGGCCAAAAGGGGGTTTTCAGAACCTGAAATAAGGCTGGCCCTCTGGTGCGCACGGGTAAAGGCCTACTGCCGCTTTGCCGACTGAGTCACCGTGATTTACTCCCCCACCATCCTGTCGGGTCGGGGTGGGGGGACCCTTGGGGTTGGGGATTCAACCTTTTGGACGTAGTATAAATACAGTCTTGTTTTAGAAATTAGACAATCTTGATATTTCGAAACTGGTGTCTGAAGATGAGTTTTAGAACTAGATAAGATCTTTCCAACATGATAGAAAACACTTTCAACGGAAAAAAATAGAGCAAGATATGATCGAATAAAATTCTACACGAGTTCAGAATGGAATCAAAAATATTTATGAATTTATGGTTAATCTGTACCTTTACTCAGTGCAATGTAAATGAAGTTGGAACAATAGTTCAATAATTTAAAATTATCAACCAGATACTCCGTATAATACACTAGAGAAGAACACACCATATATGAGTGTAACAAATAGCAAGACACTTGTAAACAAGCATTCTTGTTTTGCACAGCTATTTCAGCAACAAAAGAAGACTGCAAATCAGAAACAGAGAAAAAAACAATGTCTGCAATTTTCAGGCATAACAAAACAAAGCTCCACAACCATTTCCCTTTCAAGGCTCCCTTCCACTCGTTCGGCTCTTTCAAGTATCCTTCCAGCTCCTCTTCCATCACAGCCCCTCTCAAGCTCCATTTATTCTCGACACTCATTCGCCTGCAGTTCTATCCTTCGGCCACGAGGGGAGCGCTAGGGATATGTGTTAGTCGGAGGTGCAAGTGGGAAGGGAGTTCCGAAAACTATGACCAGTTAAAAGCGGAGGTTAACTGCCCGCGCTGCTCCAAGTCCATGTCCCTTCTCTTCTCTAATCGACCTTTATCGATCACCGCAGGCGAGACAGGAATTTATCATGCCCTTAATTTGTGCCAGCATTGCCGTACTGCGTTCTATTTCCGTCCTTCAAAGCTGGAACCCTTGCAGGGGAATTTCCTTGAGATTGGGCGGGTTAAGGACGAGGCCGGAGAGAAGGAAAATAATGGAAACGCTGCTGTTGGTATTGAGAGCGGCAAATCTTCGGGTAAGATTTGGGAAAAGTTGAGGACTTACAGTGATAAAAATAGTCTTAGTAGTAGTGATGTTGGGGAAAGTAGTAGTAGTGGTTACCGGAGCAGCAGCAGCAGCAGTGACTCTGAGGTGGAGGAGAGTGTGGAAGGGTCTGCCTGTGAGTGGACAGATTTAAAATTGGCTAAGACGCTGCCCACCCCGAAAGAGATACGTAAAGGGCTTGATGAGTTTGTAGTTGGGCAAGATAGAGCAAAAAAGGTGAATGATGATTTGACTTTTCTTTTTTTGATGAACTATCCAGTCTTGAAAGGAGTGATTTTTTTTTATCCATGAAGAAGTATAGCTTTGTTTTAATTTTCAATATGATCTTATAGCTTCTAAACAATATGCAGGTTCTGTCTGTGGCAGTTTACAACCACTACAAAAGAATATATGATGCCCCTTCAACCCGCAGGTGAGATGGATGCTCTCTTTTGGAGTGGCAGTCAGCCAGTCACTTTATTGGATATATTTCTAGCATTTATAATCATAAAAGCTTAATTAACTAGACTATGATATTCCAGGCTAGTCTTTTGCAACCATTCCCTCAACAATTCCCTCTACTTTTGGCGCTTCAATGTTAAATTATACTAGCTCCGTCCCACTCAACTTTGTCAAGTTGATGTTGGTTGAGATTTGTGCAGAGGAGTATGTTTTATTAAGTTCAATGGGAAATTATATTTTGCTTTGATATACCTGAAGTTGGAAATTATAAAACTATCTGTTCTGTCTTACTAAAGAGAAGTTGATACGTTGAAGCATAGCATGATTCCTTCTTCATTTCTTGGTCATGTTCCACTGTTCCCTCTCATACATAGCACAGATAACACCCCGAATAGTTACTCCCTGCCCAAGACAACCTGAATTGAAATATGATATTGTTTTTCACCTGATAGAATGCTTACACAACTGCATTTACTCTTAGCTATTACTTTACACAGTAGATTAGTTTTCAGGATGCCGCTAATACACTACTATTCTGATATATACCAGGGCAGGTGAAGAATTGGGTAAATCTCTGAATGAACATGGAAGTTCCGAAACTGATTTTGTTGAGCTTGAGAAGAGCAACGTTCTATTGATAGGTCCAACTGGATCAGGTATGTAATTTAATCTTGATGCATCTCTCAACGTTTAGATTCAGTACAAAGGTCTATATCTAATTCTCAACCTGGATTTTCCCTGTAGTTGTAGTATGGTTTCTGCAATGTTTCACTAAGGAAGTGCTCTGAATGTATTTCCTGATTTTGACTCTGTAATTCGCATGAATGAAAGGACAGGCAAGACATTACTTGCAAAGACACTAGCTCGTCTCGTAAACGTGCCTTTCGTCATTGCGGATGCAACAACACTAACACAGGCAGGTTTTGCTGCAGCTTCACCTTATTACAAGTGTTTGTTAAAACTCTCGTACTAGAAGGAGTTTTATATGGAATCTTATGCCATGTAGAGTTTAGAGATGTGGGATTACATGAATATCTTTATTCTCCTCTGTTATGACTTTCGAAATCTCTACAGAAATTACAATAGAGATTGAGTTGCAGTTTTCATTAATCTTGTGGTATTTCTAACCGGAACTTCTCTTCCACTCTAGGCAGGTTATGTTGGAGAGGATGTAGAGTCATTATTGTTCAAATTGCTCATGGTATGATTTTTTTGCTTTTATGACGGTTGGATGTTGTTGAATATACCAGATCTTTGGGCTATAGCACTCCCACACACTGTATATGTCATACACTTACTCAGCACACCTATATGCTCTATAGCATGCATGCATTGCATTGCATTTATTTTTATTCATTGGTAATTGGTTGTCTCATAGAAGTTTTACAAGTATTACGTTTGACTCCCTGCATTAACTAAAGATAGTTTGTGCACTAATAACTGTCTATTTAGTAAACCAATAAAGTAAAACATAGTGAAATCACTACGTTTCCTTCCAATATAAATGTGACATTTGCTTCTTATATTTGATTCCTAGAAATTAATAGGCGTGTGATTGTAATTTAACATAAACTAATGATCCCATTAAAACCACAATCTTACCTCGATGGGCTTTTTAAGAACGAAGGGCTTGAAGTATCTTTTTATGCCTATGATTGGTTTATGCTGTTTCTGATAGGAATAGGCCCATTAGGCTAATAACAGGGCCCATTAGGCTATTAATAGAAAGAATAACAAAGATTGTAGTATTGTAGTATAAGTAGACGGAAAGGGGAGGTAGTAGGAAGGCTGTTTTAGACTTTGTCTTGGGACTGGGAAGATTGAGATTACTCTCTCTCTTTGGGGGCTTCGGCCATTGTTACTGTTCTTCTATAAAGATTGCAGTTGTTTTTCTTGATATCTTTCTGTGAATTTTCTGTATACCTGGAGCTTGTCCTATCACAAAGCACATAGACTCCTATCCTCCCCCTCCACTACTGTTTTTCACTCACCATTATTAATATTCACTGATCTTTGGGGACCAGCTCCCATTTTATCCTTTGATGGTTACTCCTATTATATCTTCTTTATTGATGCTTTCACAAGATACACATGGATTTATTTCCTCAAAAAGAAGTCTGATGCTCTTTTAGCATTTCAAAATTTTTATCAATACATCCTCAATCAGTTTTCTGTCTCTATCAAATCTATTCAGTCAGATTGGGGGGTGGGGGGTGGGGTGAATTCAGATCCTTCACCAAGTTCTTAACTGAAAAAGGCATTCCACATAGAATCATTTGTCCTCACACTCACCATCAAAATGGTGTAGTGGAAAGAAAACATAGAACTATTGTTGAAAAGGGTCTGTCACTTCTAGCCCATTCTCCCTTGCCTCACAAGTTCTGGGATACTACATTTGCAACCTCAGTTCATCTTACCAATAGAACCCCTTCAAAGTCAAATTGCCAATTCCAGTCCATATTTCAAACTTTATGGATCAATTACAGATTACTCTTTTCTCAGAGTATCCATTTATCAGACCCTATAATAAACACAAAGTGGATTTTCACTCTGAAGAATGTGTGTTTATAGGTTACTCTTCTCAACATAAGGGCTACAAATGTCTCTCGCCTTCTTGGAAAATCTACATTTCCAGAGATGCTGTGTTTAATGAGTCTAAATTTCCTTATTCTATTCTCTTTACTTCACCTATCAATCAGCCTCCTACTTACTCTTCTTCACAATCTGCCCCCATAACTATCCTTACTCCCAGTTCCTCACCACTTATTCCTGATTCCTCTCAATCAAACTCATCCACATCCTCTAATACTTCTTCTTCACCTCAAACTAATCCTTCTCACTCATTTCCTACTCACACTCCTGTCCAACATGATTCATCTCAGTTCATCTCTTCAGAACCTGGTTCACAGGTTGGTTCAATACCTCATTCTTCATCTGACTCCTCATCTTCTTCACCTATTATTCCTTTGACTAACACTCACCCTATGACAACAAGAGCCAAATCTGGAATTGTTAAACCTAGACTTACTCCTACCTTACTATTAGCTCATATAGAGCCAGGTCAGTTAAGCAGGCACTCTCCTCTCCTCATTGGTTTGCTGCCATGAAATCTGAATATGATGCAATGATTGCTAGCAACACATGGTCTATGGTTCCTCTTCCTCCACATAAACAGGCTATAGGCTGTAAATGGGTGTTCAGGGTAAAGGAAAATCCAGATGGATCCTTGAACAAGTTTAAAACAAGATTAGTTGCTAAAGGTTTTCATCAACGGTTTTTGGTTTTGACTTTGGAGAAACATTTTCTCCAGTTGTTAAGCCTATTACTGTCCGGATTCTTCTTACTCTTGATGTCTCCTATCAATGGTCCATTCAATAGTTGGATGTCAACAATGCTTTCCTTAATGGGGATCTTAATGAAGAAGTCTACATGGTACAACCTCCAGGATTTCAGGCAGAAGACACATCTTTGGTTTGCAGACTTCACAAGTCTCTATATGGTCTGAAACAGGCCCCTAGGTCCTGGTTTCACAAGCTGACTACAATCCTATACAGTGCTGGGTTCAAGCAAAGCAATTGTGACAATCCTTGTCATTGGAAACAATTCTACAGCTATCCAGAAGCTTATTCACAAATTGCATTCATCCTTTTCTCTTAAACACGTGGGAGACATTGATTTCTTTCTTGGAATCCAAGTTCACAAATTTCCAGATGGCAGCCTACACCTCTCTCAAGCCAAATATGTTAGAGATTTACTCAATCAAGTTGGCATGATTGATTCTAAGGGAGTCAAAACACCTATGATTAGTAGTTGCAAACTCACACATGAAGGGAGTGATTCACTGCCGGATCCTTCTTTCTACAGATCTATAGTGGGTATCTTACAGTATGCTACCTTAACAAGACCTGAGATAAGCTATGCTGTTAATAAGGTCTGTCAGTTCATGGCTGCACCTCTACAAGAGCACTGGAAAGCAGTTAAACATATCCTCTGCTATCTCTCTGGCACCATTACACATGGAATTCTCATCAAACCCATGTCTTTATCCACTATGTCTCTGCCCATTTCAGCATTTTGTGATGCTGATTGGGCCTCTGATCCTACTGATAGAAGATCTACATCAGGGTCTTGCATTTTTCTTGGTCCAAATATTATTTCTTGGTGGTCCAAGAAGCAGCTGCGTGTTGCCAGATCCTCAGCAGAGGCTGAGTATAGAAGTATGGCTGATACCACAACAGAACTTCTATGGGTTCAGTTTCTTCTTCATGAACTTCAAGTTTCTTTTGCTACTTCAAAAATCTATTGTGACAATCTGAGCACTCTTCAACTGGCACATAATCCTGTGTTACATTCTCAAATCAAGCATATGGAGATTGATCTGTTTTTTGTACGAGACAAAGTCCAGTTGAAGCAACTGCAAGTGTTTCACATTCCTGCTCAACACCAACTTGCTGATGTTTTAACTAAACCATTATCTGCTTCATCCTTCATTGACTTAAGAACCAAACTCAGCGTGATTGCTCTTCCAGTCCAATCACCCTGAGTTTGAAGGGGGAATGTTAGATATACTACACACATTGTAATTAGTATAAGTCAGTTGAAGGATAGTTAGTTAGTTAAGTCTGTTGAGCAGGAGTCCTCTATATAAGCTCTCTGTACATTTCATTTCAATCAATGAGAATATACTATCTCTATCTTTCTCTCTCTCTCTCTAATTCTATTACCCTCAATCTATCTAATTACTTGGCCCAGCCATATTAAGCCCATAAGTCCAGGTCTCTATCATCACTCCCCCCTTTGACAACCACCTTGTCCTCAAGGTGGGAAGTAAGAGCAGCTATGCCATCCAGCTTCTCGTGCCCCTTCCTTTCCAGTACCTCACTGTTTACTGGACAAGGAGCTTCCATACTTGAATCTTCCTCGTCACTTCATTCACCTCTGATCTTCCACATAGGGCATCAAAATCTCCAGCTATATTGTTCTGCTTAGCCCATTTTTCCACTGCTGGTTGGTTTGGCTTAGTAACATCTACTAGAGTTGTCTCCAAGCTACTCCCAGATTCTCCATCCATAACCGCAATGACGCTGTCCAGTGAAAGAATGTCATCTTCAGCCGCATTTTGGGTACACCCAACAGCATCCTTCCAATCAACTTCCATGGAAAGACTCCACCAAAACCTCTCTGCAACTTCACGCTCCCAAGTCGTAGAGTTAACTTTCACTGGCTTTCTTGGAAGAGCGAGTGGGAAACCGTAGACTAGTTCAAGAGGGAACAATCTTTGCTAGTGTCATGCCAAACAGAGATAAAACAACAACTTGTTGTACAGAAAACGGGAGCAACATTTTCAGTCCCCACATTAATATGGTAGTTACCCATAGGGGTGAAACTTGAACCTGACAAAACATGAACCCCACCACACAAAAGGCAACTGCAATTTCACCTCTGTGAACAGGATAAACAATCCGGTTAAGGGTTCCAACATCGCTCGGAAGATCAAAAGGATTAAATGTGACCTTCGTTGTCATCTCAATGTTAAGAATATTAAGGTCAGAAACAGTTTGCATATCAGGCATTGATATACTTCCAGCCACACTGTTTCCTACCCCATTCCATACTTCTGGCAATGATGGAGAGAGCCTTGACCTCTCAACAACTTCAGCCTGTCTTTCCTGAAGTATGCTGGCCTTTTGCTTTGCTATTGCGATCTCACAGGAATTGCCAGCGATGGCTTCAACTCCACATTTGACCATATCATTACCCGGCCTAACCCTCCCTTGTGCAACCTCTTCCATTTTGTCTCCCTTCATTGATCTTGAAAACGAGGCCTCATCTCGGAATCGTTCGTGTGCGTTCTGTGCAGATTTCTGAAAGACTTCTGCTTCATCAGACCCTCCTGTTACCACTCCAATCGAGCCAGTGGATGTAAGGTTTTTGCCACAATATCCTTTGCATCATTTTCAGTTACAAAACTCAAAAACCTTCGAACAGTAGAGTCGTTGAAGACTATCTCTATTGCTGTGTTTCTAAACTGAATGCTAGTCCACTGGACAGCCTTTACGATGTATATGATCCATCTTCTATGCCACTGGATATTGCTGGGATTCTTTTGAGGTATATTTCCACACACTGCGCTTATACTATCACAAATTTTTCCCTTTTCAGAATAAAAAATGAGACTGCCAGGCCACTTAAGTAGGTTCT